TAATGTTGTAAGTTATATATATATATATATATATATATATATGTATATAAAACTTACAACATTAATTTATCAAGTAAATAAACATCTTAAGTAGGACTAAAAACTACTTACTTCCACTGTTCTCTTCTTCAGAGACAGATGGTTCAAAGCTCTAGTTCCACACAAAAGAAAGAAAATGTCAGCATTGTCTCATTTCTATACTGACCACCGAATACTCAAACCCAAATGACTACAAATAAGAGACAATAGTACCAGAACATGCAATTCCTCCTTTCTGTTGTAAAGTCAGTAATACTATGACCATTGACTACAACTTTAAAGTTAATTTCTTGGAGGAATCACTCCCCTCAACTTACCGCACAAAAAGAAAGATAACGATGACACAATTGATAACGTGTCATGTCTCCTTTTATAATGCAATTGTTCCTCTAAATATGGTTGTTGGCATCACACAAGGCGACCTGCTCGCTCAGTTTGGTTAGGAAGGATGGGTTGGGTATGCTGGGGAAAAGTGGGGGGTGGTTTAATGTGCTATTGTATGTCATTCATGTCAGGCTCAGGGTTAATAATTCAAAAGGTGGATGCTAGAAACATAATTGTATCATCATATAAACCAGAAATGATTTTACTCACCCTCTGTGTACCTGTTAAACAGAAATACATTAAAGAATGTATTAAGATTAAGAAAATTAGTGGAGTAAATCTACTGAAACAAATTTAGAATGTCCGGTTTTAAGCAGTGAACACTACAACTTTAGAGTTTAAGCATAACTTTTTGCAAATGATTCTGTAAAACGGTTTACCTTAATACCTAATTGGTAAAACCCAATAAATAGTTTATGTACATAACATACAGTGAAAGTGTATTCTGTGTTATGTTTCGATACCTTTATCAAATTACAAAATATAAGCAAATGGCCAGGAACAATTTAGTATAAAATGTATCTAAAATATTTATAGGGAAATCCAAAAGTCTCCAAATGTCATGTTTTTTCTTTCATTTTTTGTCTTCTTTAGAGAGATTAGATTAATTCTATATGCACCGACTATTCCTCTGGTTTCCACTAGAGGCCTCACCTGTTTAACAGTTATTGCATGGGCCTGGTCAAGGTCGGTGTCTAGCTGGTGTGAATATTTCAGTTTGTGCTGAACCAGTGATGGAGCATTTGTCTTCTTCCCTGTACACTTGAGCATACAGATATCCCTGTGACATTCCTGTTGAGTGCCTCTCCTTGATTGAGAGGCACAGCTTGCATGATCTATCCGACTACATCCATTGACAGACAGCAAGTGACCTTTCTGTAGAGATTCTGTCCATAACTAAAGGCATTCACTGCTTTTTTATATACACTCCTCAATTAATTTCATTTCAGGTACAAATATGTATTCAAGTTTGGGACCTGTAATGTTATCTTATACAACTGAAAACTTGATACAGATAAGCAGGATCAAATTGCAGACTGACAGGCGAGCACTATTGTAACCTTAAGACCAACAAGCTAAGTCGGGGTCAAGGCACTCAGACTAACAAGGAGAAACAAGAAATGTGAGATGAGTGTTAATAACTCGCCACCTCACACCTGCTGCCATAGTGTCTAATAGTCTGAAGGGTGTTAATTATGAAACCCACTGAAGGCACTTCCTAAGATCTCCCTGTGAGATTCTTTAAGGATTTACAAATGGTCACACTTGAGTGTAATTAATACGCTTTGGAAATGCAGAGGCTGAAAAAAAAAACATTTTTTGGAGGTTACTTCAAAATTTTTCGGAATTCAAATCACAGATGCCCAGGAGAAATCATTAAGAAAGTATATAAAGTCAATTGGTTTATGTTCATGAACTGGATTTTACCTTTGGACAATTAACCAAACCTGTTTGCGCCAATCAAACAAAGATATACCTTTACCTCGGCTTCCGAGACTTATTTTTCTTTCCGTTTGCCCTTGAGTATAAAGATAACAGTGTGAAATTCTTTCTGAGTGCTTCTGGCCGATTGAGGACCGCTCGGCCCACGTGTTGAGATCTGGGGTGAAGCAGGTGCTGTCTTTGTAAAGGACTCCATGCACATAAATAAGAGCATCTAGTTATAGATGTTGGCACACTTGTTGGCTGCATTGACTTTACTGAAGTTACATGTCCAACAGAGGGAGAACAATGTGCTGCTGGTCACAAGGTGGATTTTATTATTAGATTTATTTTATACAGATTGAAGAGCTTTACAATATGAGGGTTTATTTTTCCTTTCTATTTTTTGGTAATAAAATAAAGTTCAAATTATGGCAATAAAATACACTCCAATTGTTCGCATATTCACAAGCCATTTGTCCTCGAAATGGGCAAATTTGAAGATATGGCCTTATTAATTATGTAAAGATAACCAGCTTCACCATGTTTCCACCATCACAGTAAAAACTTTCAATAAGCAATTCACCCGTTGAAGCCTTAAAATAACATACATCCAATATGGCATCATTTTAAGGGGCAGAATAGTTGGTTTCCTTCCTTTCACTTCTCCATTCTCAGCTGTTCAGGGTTGACTGCACCTTTAATCATCTGCCTATCATTGACCTGCTCATCACCTTCAATTACTTATACAATTCCCAGTGCACGCACACACACACACACACACGCACACACACAATTCTTTTGCCCTAAATTATCTAGATAAGTAAGGATTATTTTGGTAATTAAAAGTGAGCCATGGGGTTTTTCTTTTTCAGATGCAAGGCCACAAGGAACCTCAGAGCTCTTCTGATTAAGGTAAGAAATCAGCTGCAAATCAACTAAAGCAATTGTATTCATGTTCACACGTCTTGTTATAGCTTCATGCATTTTCATCAGTAAGTGAAAACTGCTTTAAACTAGAGCCATTACTGTCCTTTAGAGCTTCTTAAACGCATTACAATGTTACCGCACACACACACATACTGTGAGCAAGGAATCTAACCCGAGACATTCCAAATGAGGAACGTTGTGCTCTTCCAATTGAAAGGTAAAATTTTCCTTTTATTTTTTTTAGTTTATCTTTTATTCAGTGCTTTCAATTCAATCATTCAATCAATGAATGTGATTAGAACAGAACCATAAATTAACAATACATCCTCTTGTGACATACTTTATATAATCAGATTTAATCATTTAAAAAGTGCAATTAAAAAGCACAAAAATTCTGAGGATTCATTTAAGGCATGTTTTCTGTTTTATAATAATGTAAAGCTTCTAGTTTTGCATAAGCTTTTTTAATATGCTTTAATTCTTATTCTATGTGCTTTATTTTCAAGGATTTTTTTCCCAAAAGATAAGTCTTAATATGATTTGAATATATGGTTCCTCTAAAGTGGTATGATTTCACCTAATGTATTGAAGGTAAATGCAACGGCATCATGTTTAAAAAAAAAAACAATAGCAGAGAAGCAGGGACTTGCACATTCATTTTATTCTATAGAACTACAGATAATGAAATCACACTGAGCCACACTGAACAAGCCTTTCAGAAAGATCCATGTGAGAGCTTCACTCTTCGTCGTGCCCTTTCTGTGAGAGGAAGAGACATGAATGAGGATATTTGGTTAAAGGTATTTTGTTGCTTTTATTGTTCATTAGACTGTTTAGTTAAGCATCAGCTCTAAAAAAAAAACTAATTCTGTTTCGGCAACAGAATCTCTTTAATTTTGGCGAAGCAAGTGTTAAGATTTATCTTTGCAAAAAAAAACTTATACATGGGTATGCATTAAATAATGTTGGCTTAGAGTAATAAAATCCTTCAAATTGATTTCAACTATTTGATCAGGCAGACTGTTTTTCTGATTGATTATCATTTCAGAATAAAAGTAATCCAAATTTTAATTGAGCTTGCTGGGGATGACTGTATATTGTGTTACCTTAGATCCAGTGTCACGGCTCTTGGCTCTCATCTTGTTGACCTGAGATTCAGCAATATCAGCCCTCTCCTCTGCCTCATCCAGCTCATGCTGCAGCTTACGAAACTTGCCCAGGTTAGCATTCGCCTGTTCCTCCTAAACAACAATATATTGTGGTTGATAAGGGTTTTGGTATGTTTTCAAGTCTCAAAATCAGATGAACCAACATTTTTTATGAACCAATTTACATTAAGGTGTTCCAAATTTTAAGATTTGAAAAAAGATTGATGAATACAAATAATTATCATAAGCATACCGCCTCCTCAGCAGCTCTCTTGTAGGACTTGACCTTCAGCTGAAGTTTGTCCACCAGATCCTGAAGACGTGCCAGATTCTTACGGTCCTCCTCAGTCTGCAAAAAGAGTACACAGTGACTTCACTGTGTGAAAATTATATTTATGGTATGAATACAAAGACATTTATTTGTATGTGAGAGAATGTTACCTGGTAGGTGAGCTCCTTGATGCGTCTCTCATATTTACGGACTCCTTTCACAGACTCGCTCGCCTTTCTCTGTTCCAGCTCCACCTCATTTTCCAGCTCTCTGACCTAAGAGATGTGCAAGATGGTTAGCTAATCAAATAAAATAAGTATTTTAATTACGGGGGAAAAAATAGGTTTCCAAAAACATCGGCAGCTTACCCTAGTCCAGCAGTTCCTGCTCAGCCAGTTTCCTTCCTCTCTCAGTCTGTTCCACCAAGGATCTCAGCTCATCCAGTTCAGCCTGCAGTAGATTGTTGCGTCTCTCCACGATGGCGATGTTCTCTTTGAGATCATCATTACTGCGCAGAGCGTCGTCTAATTGCAGTTGGGCATCCTGTGAAGTACAAATTTTTCACTTGAAGAGGCTGCAGAATGTTTTAAGATTTCACTTTTTCTTTACACATTGTTGGTAAAGCATACCTTGAGATGTCCATGAAGACCCTTGAGTTGCTTCTGGGCTTCTGATGTTTCTGCTTCCATTCAGCCAGGACCTGTTTGATAGATTCAGAGACTTTGATTAGCTATCATTGGAGCTTGATGAATACTGAAAGATTATAGAGTAAGTGTGTTTTATTCACCTTGTCAAAGTTTCTTTGCTTCTTGTCCAGAGCAGCGGCAGCAGCATTGGATCTCTCCACATCCACCATGAGATCTTCAATCTCATTCTGCAGCCTGTGTTTGGTCTTCTCCAGTGAGGAGCATTTAGCATTGACAGCTTCCACAGCTTCTTCTGCATCTTGCAGACGCTGAGCCAGCTTCTTCCTAAAATTATTACAGAGAATCATTACTTTACAGTGAGTTTTTATGTTTACATAATTTTTGTAGGTTTGTAGGTGTTTCCTGTTTCATACTTAGCATCCTCCAGCTCCTCAGTCCTCTGGATGGCATCAGTTTCATACTTGGTTCTCCATTGAGCCACCTCAGAGTTTGCCTTGGACAGACTCCGCTGCAGCTCAGCTTTGGCTTCTTGCTCCTCCTCATACTGCTCCCTCAGCAGATCAGCATCATGACGAGCAGACTGAACTGCATGGGCCAGGGCATTCTTAGCCTATGAGGATTGAAAATATCCTGTCAACTATATATAAAAATGCAATGGACAGTTAGTAATAAATATTTTAAAATAAAATCAAATATACCTTAATTTCCTCCTCTAGTTGTCTCTTGAGGTCCTCAATCTGCTGGGTGTAGGACTGCTTGGCTCTTGTTAGCTGAGAGACCAAGGAATCCTTTTCTTCAAGCTGTCTAGAAAGCTCCCCTAGATTTAAGTATAACAATTACATTACAGAAAGCGTGTGTGATTTTGGGCATTTATCTAACAATACATAAAATAATATCTTAGAGTACACACCATTCTCAGTTTGTAGCTTAGCTTTTTGCATGGTAAAGTCATTGATGCTGCGTTGTCCTTCTTCATATTTTGTTCTGTATTCTGACATCTGGTCTTCAAGGGTCCTGCACATTTTCTCCAGGTTTGCCTGCATAGATCGAATGTAATGAATTAAACGGAAGTGACAAAGTGGATGAATAAAAAGCTTACTGCAAAAAGTTAAGGAACACCTGAAGTTAACATGGAGACAAGAATTTATCACCTTGGCCTTGGCAATCTGCTCCATGTTGGAGACCACATCGTCCAGTTCCAGTCTGAGTTCACTCTTCTCTTTCTCCAGCTTCTGCTTCACTCTCTGAAGGTTGTCAATCTGCTCTCCCAGATCAGCTACACTGTCGGCATGTTTCTTCCCTCTGGGCAGCAGTGGCTCCACCAGCCTCCTCCAATCTCTCACTGATCTCCTCCAGTTCTCTGGACAGATCAGCTCTCTGTTTCTCAACTTTGGCACGAGCAGCTCTCTCAGCCTCCAGCTCTTCTTCAAGCTCTTCAATACGAGCCTGGTAATGTGAGGAAAGCCAGTGTTAGCATTCCTAAATGTCCAACTATCCAACTTATTAAGAATTCATCAATTTTACTTGCAGCTCTTTCAGTTTCTTCTGGAGTTGGGCTGCCATTGCCTGCTCGTCTTCAATCTTGCTACTGAGCTGGCTGATCTCAAAATCTTTCCTGTGTTTCAGAATGTTTTATGTTTTCACGCCATATCAGCAACAATGGCTATATTCATGGCAACATTAAAGTTAAGGAACACCTGAAGTTAACATGGAGACAAGAATTTATCACCTTGGCCTTGGCAATCTGCTCCATGTTGGAGACCACATCGTCCAGTTCCAGTCTGAGTTCACTCTTCTCTTTCTCCAGCTTCTGCTTCACTCTCTGAAGGTTGTCAATCTGCTCTCCCAGATCAGCTACACTGTCGGCATGTTTCTTCCTCAGTGTAGCAGCGGTGGCCTCATGTTGCAGAGTGGACTCTTCAAGGTCTCTGCGCAGCTTCTGGAACTCAGCTTCACGTTTCTTGTTCATCTCAATCTGGGCTGCAGTGGCTCCACCGGCCTCCTCCAATCTCTCACTGATCTCCTCCAGTTCTCTGGACAGATCAGCTCTCTGTTTCTCAACTTTGGCACGAGCAGCTCTCTCAGCCTCCAGCTCTTCTTCAAGCTCTTCAATACGAGCCTGGTAATGTGAGGAAAGCCAGTGTTAGCATTCCTAAATGTCCAACTATCCAACTTATTAAGAATTCATCAATTTTACCTGCAGCTCTTTCAGTTTCTTCTGGAGTTGGGCTGCCATTGCCTGCTCGTCTTCAATCTTGCTACTGAGCTGGCTGATCTCAAAATCTTTCCTGTGTTTCAGAATGTTTTATGTTTTCACGCCATATCAGCAACAATGGCTATATTCATGGCAACATTAACAATATCAAATCAATCTTTTACAATAATATAGAATTTTATTAAGAAGCAATCACTATACAAAAACATACAAGTAACAACAATAGTACTGATAAAGTAAAACACACTTTTTAAGCCTCTCTTCCAGTTGTTGTTTGTCATTTTCCAGGTCCATCAAACTCTCTTGGGTCAACTTTAAGTCTCCCTCAAGCTTCCTCTTTGCCCTCTCCAGATCCATACGAAGTTTCTTTTCCTGTTCCAGGGAACCCTCAAGCTGGAAGGGCAATATCAAAGTATTTTATTTAGCAAATATTTCATGGTTCATTTACATCAGAAATGTCAACAAACTACTCACATCATCCACTTGTTGCTCCAGCTTGGCTTTGGCTTTAGTGAGTGTGTTGACTTTGTCTTCCTCACTCTGGAGGTCATCCAGTGTTTGCTGATGGGCCTCCTGCAGAGCTTTCTTCTCCTTGGTCAGCTTAGCGATGATCTCATCCAAAGCTGCCATCTCTTCTGTCAGGTTTTTAACCTGTTGAATTATGCCATTGTATCAAGGAACTCTTAACGCACCATTCTTGCTTCTCTAACATGTTTAGAGTTGAAAACTGACCTTGTTCTCAGTGGCATGTTTCTCTTTCTCCACTTTGGCCAGAGTGAGCTCAAGATCATCAATGTCCTTCTTGAGCTCAGAACATTCATCCTCCAGCTTTCATTTCTTGGCAGTCAGCTCAGCATTCATTTCCTCTTCATCCTCCAGTCTCTCGGTCATTTCTTTGACTTTAGCCTCAAGCTGGATCTTGTTCTTGATCAGGCCCTCACATCTCTCCTCAGCATCACAAAGATTATCTTGCTCCTGTTTACAGATAATGTCTTTGTATGATTAAATAAAACTTAGAGTTGCATTTCATTCATGAATTCATAAAATCACAAACTCACAGCTTGAACTTGAAGTTGTAGGTCGTTCTTCTCTTGGAGAAGAGAAACCATCTTTTCTTCAAGCTCCTTTCTGCGGGCTTCAGATTTGGCGTAAGCCTCCTTCAACTTCAGGAATTCTTCCTTCATGTTGGCCATTTCTTTCTCCGCTTCAGCAGATCTAAGCAGTGGTTTGATCTTGAAGTAGAGCTTCATCCAGAGCCAATTCTTGACACCCATGAAGGCACGTACATTCCACTGGATAACAAGTAATGAATCTCTGCAACGTAATGGTACACATTCATATTCTAAAACCAATTAATATTGTTCATCTCAAATTTATTGAGAGTCTGATTTCTAACCTGCGCTCAACAATCTTCTGGAACTCAATTCTTGAGAGAATACCGCGAGCTCTTGCTTGAATCCCAGTAATGATGAGAGCAAGACGGTCATCTCTCATCTCTTCAAGTGTACCCAGCAGACCAGCCTTGAAGAACACCTTCAAAGAAATATGAAAATTGTAGTTTTAGAGATTTAATAAAATGAGAAAAGAGATAGTGACAAATAGTGTGAAAATCCGTTTTTCCAGCCCATTTTTAAACATGTTCGTTCATACCTTAGTATGGCCAAACTTGTACTGGTTGTGATCAATGTCCAGAGATCCCAGTAGTTTTTCTGCTCCTTTCCTGCTGTCAATAAACTGTCCCTCAGGGATAGCAGCAGGGTTTAGGATGCGGTATCTGTCACAGTCACAGTATTAATTTAAGTAAATTAATGCTGTTGATGGTTTTTTTTTTTTATTCAATTATTTTGAATATACATATTTTTCCCCACAAGTTAGCATTTTAATATGATGACTAAAGAAAAACATGAAAACTTGGACATTTAACAGAATCTGCAATCAAAATTAAATATACTTCTGCTTGAAATCTCCATACAGGATCCTGTTGGGGAAGCCCTTTCTACAGATTCTGATGCCCTCCAGCACACCGTTACAGCGCAGCTGGTGCATGACCAGAGGATTCTCCATCGCCCCAGGAGTCTTAGTCTCATTTGGAATCAGGCAACGCACAAAGTGAGGGTGAGTTGACCTCAAGTTGGTCATCAGCTTGTTCAGGTTCTCCTGTGGATATATATTATCCATCACTCATCCCCTATATATATTAGGCTTTCATGCTGTTTAAAAAAATATTAAGAAGCCAAATTTACACAGTATGTTATTCATTTCAGTGTGAAAAACACTATATGTTACCCTGTGAAGGGCAGATACTGTCTGGAAAGAAGAGCCCTTTTTCTTCTTCTCCTTTCCTTTGCCACCACCTCCTCCCTCCGCGGCTGTTACAAAAATATGTATGAAAAATCTCACAAAATATTCACTTGTTTGTTTCTAGGATTCTTTTCTAGTTTTTCTGCAACACACCTGAGTCAGCACCAGCATATCCAGCAAACAGGTTAGACAGCAGTTTCATAGTGGACTTCTGATAGAGGCCAACAACCGTCTCATTGAGAGGATCCTTGTTCTTCACCAGCCAGTTATTAATGTTGTAGTCCACAGTGCCAGCATAGTGAACCAGGGAGAAATGGGCCTCTGGTTTACCCTTGACAATCCTGGGCTTCTGGAAGTTGTTCGATTTCCCCAAATGGTTGTCATAAAGCTTAGCTTTGAATGTTGCATCACTGGCTTTAGGGAACATGCACTCCTCTTCAAGGATGGACATGATACCCATGGGCTAAAATGAACAGAATGAAATAATGAAATTAACTGAACAGCTTTATTGGTCCAATACCTGAGATCTCTCAAATTTCAAAACTCACCTTTTCAATGAGATCAATGCAAGCCTGCAAATCCATGCCAAAGTCAATGAACACCCACTCAATGCCCTCCTTCTTGTATTCCTCTTGCTCCAGCACAAACATGTGGTGGTTGAAGAACTGCTGCAACTTCTCATTAGTGAAGTTGATGCACAGCTGCTCAAAGGTGTTGAACTGCAGGTGGGATATGTTTTATAATCACAATGGCAAAGTAACAAAGAAATTAAGTTATTGAATAACAATAATCAGTTGATGTAAACTTACACCCTTTCTGCAGATTCTGATGCCCTCCAGCACACCGTTACAGCGCAGCTGGTGCATGACCAGAGGATTCTCCATCGCCCCAGGAGTCTTAGTCTCATTGGGGATGATGCAGCGCACAAAGTGAGGGTGAGTTGACCTCAAGTTGGTCATCAGCTTGTTCAGGTTCTCCTGTGGATATATATTATCCATCACTCATCCCCTATATATATTAGGCTTTCATGCTGTTTAAAAAAATATTAAGAAGCCAAATTTACACAGTATGTTATTCATTTCAGTGTGAAAAACACTATATGTTACCCTGTGAAGGGCAGATACTGTCTGGAAAGAAGAGCCCTTTTTCTTCTTCTCCTTTATTTTGCCGCCACCTTCCGCCAAGGCTGTTGCAAGAAACAAACTTTGTTTTTTCTTAAAAATTAACCTTTAATCAAATCCTTAATTGTCTCAGATTTTTCCCCCTTTGACATCAACAAAAAAAAAAACACACCTGATTCAGCTCCAGCATAATTAGCAAACAGGTTAGACAACAGTTTCATGGTGGACTTCTGATACAGGCCAACAACCGTCTCATTAAGAGGATCCTTGTTCTTCACCAGCCAGTTATTGATGTTGTAGTCAACTGTGCCAGCGTAGTGAACCAGGGCGAAATGGGCCTCTGGTTTACCCTTGACAATCCTGGGCTTCTGGAAGTTGTTCGATTTCCCCAAATGGTTGTCATAAAGCTTAGCTTTGAATGTTGCATCACTGGCTTTAGGGAACATGCACTCCTCTTCAAGGATGGACATGATACCCATGGGCTAAAATGAACAGAATGAAATAATGAAATTAACTGAACAGCTTTATTGGTCCAATACCTGAGATCTCTCAAATTTCAAAACTCACCTTTTCAATGAGATCAATGCAAGCCTGCAAATCCATGCCAAAGTCAATGAACACCCACTCAATGCCCTCCTTCTTGTATTCCTCTTGCTCCAGCACAAACATGTGGTGGTTGAAGAACTGCTGCAACTTCTCATTAGTGAAGTTGATGCACAGCTGCTCAAAGGTGTTGAACTGCAGGTGGGATATGTTTTATAATCACAATGGCAAAGTAACAAAGAAATTAAGTTATTGAATAACAATAATCAGTTGATGTAAACTTACATCAAAGATCTCAAATCCAGCAATGTCCAGCACACCAATGAAGTACTGGCGAGGCTGTTTGGTGTCCAGGGATTGGTTGATTCTCACAACCATCCAGAGGAACATCTTCTCGTACACAGATTTGGAAAGAGCTCCAATAGCATAGTACACCTATCCAAGATAATACATTAAAATAATTTTTTATTTATGGTTATGTTAATGATGAAGGGATGTTAAAGGGATAGTTCACCCAAAAATGAAAACTTGATGTTTATCTGCTGGCATAGTAGACATAGATATATATATATAAGTAGATGCCTCATTAGTGACTGTTTCTATGGGCTGCAATACGTTCCAAAATGGCGGACGCGTCAACGTATCTGGAGTGGTCGAATAGGGCATCTATACATATCTATGATAGTAGACGCATGTGTGTCGCGCATATATGTCACTCATTATTTACATAGTGCAGAGAGATTGCGGACGTGTTCACTGGCACTGCGATGATCTAAAGATATTTAGAAGTACAGGTCATCACAATGGAAGACGATTTTGATATATCATCAGACAATGTGGAATTTTTTGCCCGAACGTATTTATTTGACGTCACGCGCCGGATGTTGTGAACGCGCTCAGGACATTTGGACATTGCGGTGGATCAGAGGTAAAAAATTATATAAATACTGTTCAGTTTCTTGCACAGACGGATCGTTTTGTGTCTTTTCACATCAATGTATCATCACGAGCCGCAGGGTTTAATTTGGTTTTGT